CACCTTCGGGAGGGGGACACCCGTACCCCAGTGAGAGTCAGCACCTTCGGGAGAGGGACCACCGTACCCCAGTGAGAGTTACACTTTGAGGAGAGGAGGAGGACCCCGTACCCCAGTGAGAATCAGCACCTTCAGGAGAGGAGGGAGACCCTGTACCCCAGTGAGAGTCAGCACCTTCGGCAGAGGAGAGGGATCTCGTACCCCAGTGAGAATCAGCACCTTCAGGAGAGGAGGGGGACCCCGTACCCCAGTGAGAGTCAGCACCTTCAGGAGGGGGACCCCGTACCCCAGTGAGAGTGAGGAGGTAATGGAATTTTCATAAGGAAAGGGATAAGAAAAAAATGAAAAAGAAGCCAGAAAACCAAAATTGATGGAGAAACTCAATGGGTCTGGCAGCATCTTTGGAGAGAGAGCAGAGTTAACCCTTCTTCAGAACAGGTCACTTTGCTTCCCCTTCACAGCTTCTGCCAGACCTGCTGACCTTCTCCAGGAATTTCTGGTTTTGTTTCAGATTTGCAGCATCCACAGTCCTTTGTTTTATGTTAATAGATAAGAAATAATGTGTCTTTGTGTTTATTAAATTATTTAAAAATGCTGACAATGGTAAACCTTTTACAAGTCATTCTTATAGAACTGTAGGAATATCCTTCAATTAACTAAAAAACAAGTACATCAAGAGAGTGTTGCAGATGTTTACAGGATCTGCAGCGGATGGTTAAAAATGATGCACAATGATGTTAATCGTTTTTGCTATCACTGGAAATCCTGCTCATCGGTTTGTCCCTTTATATCTTGTACGGTATTTTAGATGCCCTCTGTCTTTCTGGATAAAGGCTGTTTTCTGTGCCTCTCCCATGCTGACCGCTGCTTCCTGTGAGGGTCTCGCACTGACCGCTGCTTCCGGTGACGATCCGATGCTGACCGCTGCTTCCCCTGACTGTCGATCACTATTGATCCCTATGACACTCGATCACTGACTGCTGTTTCCTATGTCACCCTGTTCGCTGAATCCTGTGACACTCTCCTCACTGACTGTTGTGTCCTGTGCCAACAGGCTTACAATGTAGTGCGATAACAAATGCCTTGAATTTGAAGCTCAGTAGAATAGCTATGTGCACCTGTCAGCTACAAACAGTAAGGACACAGTCTCCTTAAACTGTTGACCTCTGACCTTTCCGTTGTTGAGCCAGTCAGCTACAGTGAGATGCATGCCTTTGCAGCTATTCCACATTCTCCGTAACCCAATCCCTTCACCTGTCAGCTGAGCCTACCCCTGGGACCGAACTCTGGTTCAATGCAGCATCATCTGTCAGAGTCAAACAAGAAAGTGGTATCGAGAAACTGTGCCATCACTTATGTGTGCAAAAATCAGCTCAGAGGGACTGAGTATTTCTGTTGTTGGTCCAAGGGTTCCTACTTTGGTGTGTGAAACTGGAATGAGTTTCTTCCCCATGTGGTCTGAGCCATCCCCCGCATTCCTGATATCTTTCTTTCATTTCCCTTCTCTCTATCTCTCTCTTACACATGCTCAACTTCAAAGTTTTGGTTTGTGAAATTGGTGATATCCTGAGACTTGTCTGTTCCTGTGCACTGGTAACCCTAGAATCTGTTCTCTGCTTTTAGTCACCAGTCTATGTTTAAATATTCATTACTCAGTCCTGTCTGACTGGTGCATATTAGAGCATGGCCTGACCCCTGTTGCGTTTAACAGTGTCTGTGCTGGTGGTGATTGCTGACCTCGAAGACCATCTAGACCCCAGCGTCCAAAGCTTTTTTCTAGTGCAGCACATCTGGCCTTGCGTTCCCCTGGCTTGGATCAGGCTGCCCTGATCTCTTTCCAGAGACTCCCTTTAGGAGGTCTGAATAAGCCTAAGAACGAATTAGGCAGCCTTGTTGCTGGTAATGGGGTGGTCTACCAGCATTTCCATGCTCATGTATGAGAAATGTAAACTTGAGTAAAAAGCCAAATGAACGGTAGCTATACCCCGAGGGAGGGAAGGAAGAAGACAGACTACACTGAGAGGACAGGGAGCTTTCTCAGAGTAGAGACTGTCTGGGGGGAGGTAGACAGCTGAACTGTCTATCTGTTGCAAATGAGTTAACGGTGGTCCTATGCCCATGAAGAGTTTAATGCCAGCTGTGGGCCCTTTGAAGGGGTTCCCTTGGGCCTCATAAAGGGGTTAACATGAGTTGCATACCCCATGAAGGAGCTAATACGAAGCCCTTGTTATTTGTTGTGTACATCAATGATCTGGACATGAACGTAGGAGCTATGATCAGTAAGTTTGCAGATGACACGAAAATTGGTGGGGTGCTAAATAGCGAGGAGGAAAGGTTTAGACTGCAGGATGATATAGATGGGCTGAACGGTGGCAAATGGAATTTAATCCTGAAAAGTGTGAGGTGATGTATTTTGGGAGGACTAACATGGCAAGGGAATACACGTTGAGTGGTAGGACCATAGGAAGCGCAAAGTATCAGAGGGACCTTGGTGTGCATGACCCTGTAGATCCTTGAAGACAGCGGGACAGGTAGATAAGGTGGTTCAGAAGGCACACAGGATACTTGCCTTTATTAGTTAAGGCATTGAAGACGAGCAAGGAGGTTGTACAGAACGAGCTCTCTATAGCATTATTTGGGCCACAGTTGCAGTATTGTGTGCAGTTCTGGTTACCACACTATAGTGATTGCACTGGAGAGGGTGCAGGGAAGATTCACCAGGATGCTGCCTGGGGTGGATTTAGCTGTGAAGGGAGACTAGATAGGCTGGGATTGTTTTCCTCAGGGTTGAGAAGGCTGAAGGAGGGAGTCTGATCGAGATTATAGAGTTCTGAAGGACATGCACAGTGTAGAGAGGGAGAAACGTCTCGGCTTAGCACAGTTAGGGCGGCATGGTGGTTCAGTGGTTAGCACTGCTGCCTCACAGCGCCAGGGACCCGGGTTCAATTCCACCCTCAGGTGACTGTCTGTGTGGAGTTTGCACATCCTCCCCGTGTCTGCACGGGTTTCCTCCAGGTTCCCGTTTCCTCCCACAGTCCAAAGATGTGCAGGCTAGGTGGATCAGCCATGCTAAATTGCCCATAGTGTTCAGGGATGTGTAGATTAGGTGGGTTATAGGGGGATGGGTCTGGGTGGGATGCTCTGAAGGTCGGTGTGGACTTGTTGGGCTGACGGTCCTGTTTTCACACTGTTGGGATTCTATGATCGATGGTGAGTAGTCAGTAATCAGAGGGCACGGTGTTAACGTAAGGAGCGGCAGGTTTAGAGGGGATTTTAGGAAAATAGTACCGTAGCATCAAAGGTCATGGGTCAACTACTGGAAAATGAGATTAGAATAGATGGCTGTTTAATGGCTAGTTCAGTCACGATGGGCCAAAAGCCTGTTTCTGTGCTTTAAATACTATGTGATTTGTAACCAGTGAGGAGTTACTATGTCAGGCAAAGTTGGCAGTAGCGGGTGGGGATGACCTCAATGTTATCCCATTTCAGCACGATTGATCAGATCAGGACACTGTGTCAAAGGAGGCCTGGGGGTACCTTACTTGTCTGGCAGCCATTGTCACCAGTGTTTCCAACTTAACCAATCAGCTGTGTGGAAGGACTTGAGAGCAAGAGCACAGTAGAGAACAAGGGAAGACTGATGAATTAAATGAATTATTTCAATGCATGAGGCTTGACAGGTAAGGCAGATGTACTCAGGACATGGATGGGAACATGGGACTGGGATATTACAGCTATTACAAAAATATGACTGAGGGAGGGACAGGACTTGCAGCTCAATGTTCCGTGGAATAAATGCTATAGGAAGAATAGAGGTGGAGGCAAAAAAGGAGGGGGACTGGCATTTTGATTTGGGAGAACATCGCGGCAGTACTTATATATCTGTATCATCGGCAGAGGATATTCCTGGGGGATCACCCAGTGAAGCTATATGGGTGGAGTTGAGAATTAAGAAGGGGGTTATCACTTGGATGGGATTACTATGGGCCCCCCAACAGTTAGTGGGAAATCGAGGAGCAAATATTTAGGGAGATCACAGATAGCTGTAAGAATAATAGGGTTGTAATAGTAGGAGGTTTTAACTTTTCAAACATACACTGGGACTGCCATAGTGTTAAGGGCTTGGATGAGGCTGAATTTGTTAAGTGTGTTCAAGAAAACTTTCTCAATCAGTATGTAGATGGCCCTACTAGAGAAGGGACAAAACTTGACCTCTTCTTGGGAAATAAGGCAGGGCAAGTGATTGAGGTGTTAGTGGGGGGCACTTTGAGACCAGTGACTGTAATACTATTAGTTTTAAAGTAGTTAAGGAAAAGGATAGGCCAGGTCCACAAGTTTTAAATTAGAGCAAAGCCAATTTTGATGGTATTAGACAGGGACTTTCAAAAATTGACTGGGGAAGGCTGTTCGCAGGTAAAGGGACATTTGGCACGCGGGAGGCTTTCAGAAGTGAGATAACAATAATTCAGGGACAGCATGTTCCTACAAGAGTAAAGGGCAAAGCTAGCAGGAGTGGAGAACACTGGATGACTAGGGCATATCAAGACTGTTGTCAATAAAAGAAGGAGGCATATGTCATGGATAGACAGCTGGGATCAAGTGAATCCCTTGAGGATAATAGGGGGGGTAGATGTACACCTAAGAAGTAAATCTGGAGACAAAAAGAGGACATGAGATTGCTTTGGCAGATAAGGTTAGGGAGAATCTAAAGAGATTCTACAAGTATATTGAGAGCAAATGAGTAACTAGGGAGAGAATAGGGCCCCTTAAAGATCAACGAGGCTATCCATGTGTGTGGAACCACAGGAGATGCTAAACAATTTTTTGCATTAGCATTTGCTGTGGAGGAAGACATGGAAGCTAGGGAACTCGGAAATAAATAATGATATTTTGAAGTGTCCACATTACAGAAGAGGAGGTGCTCGAGGTCTTAAAATGCAAAAAGATAGGTAAATCCCTGTGACCTGATCAAGTGTATCCCGGGACATTGTGGGAAGCTGGGGAAGAAATAATGGGCCCCCCTAATGGAGATATCTGTATCATCGACAGCCATGGGGGCGGTACCGGCTATGTGCCATTATTTAAGCAAAGCTATAAGGAAATGCTGGGGAACTGTAGACCGGTGAGCCTGACATCAGTGGTGGGTAAATTGTTGGGATTCTGAGAGACAGAATCTACATGCATTTGAAAAGATGAGGACAGATTAGGGATAGTCAGCATGATTTTGTATGTGGGAAATCATCTCACTAACTTGATTGAGTTTTTTGAAGAGGTGACCAAGTAGATTGATAAAAGTAGAGCGATAGACTTTGTCAACATGGACTTTAGCAAGGCCTTCGGCAAGGTTCCATATAGTAGACTGGGTAGTAAGGTTAGATCACATGGGATCCAGGGAGAGCTAGCCAATTGGATACAAAATTGGCTTGACAGTAGGAGACAGAGGGTGGTGGTAGAGGGTTGTTGTTCAGATTGGAGGCCTGTGACCAGTAGTGTGCCACTAGCATCGGTGCTGGGTCCACTGTTGTTCATCATTTATATAAATGATTTGGATGAGCATATAGGAGGCATGGTTAGTAAGTTTGCAGGTGACACCAAAATTGGTGGTTATAGTGGACAGTGAAGAAGATTATTTAAGAGTCCTAGAGATATACAACACAGAAACAGACTCTTCAGTCCAATTCATCCATGCTGACCAGATATCCTATGTAAATCTAGTCCCATTTGCCACTATTTGGCCCATATCCCTCTAAACCCTTCCATTCATATACTTGTCCAGATATGTATTAAATGTTGTATTGTATCAGCCTCTACCACTTCCTCTGGCAGCTCATTCCATACATGGAGCACATACTTGAAAAAGTTGCCCCTTAGGTCCCTTTTATATCTTTCCCCTCTCACCCTAACCCTGTGTCCTCTAGTTTTGGACTCCCTCACCCTGGAGAAAAGACCTTGCCTATTAACCCTATCCATGCCCCTCATGATTTTATAAACCTCAATAAGGTCACCCCTCAGCCTTTGATGCTCCAGGAAAAATAGCCCCAGCCTATTCAGCCTCTGCCTATAACCTAAACCCTCCAACGCTGGCAACATCTTCGTAAATCTTTTCTGAACCCTTTCTAGTTTCACAACATCTTTCCTGTAGGATGGAGATCAGAACTGCACGCAGTACTCCAAAAGTGGCTGAACCAAAGTCCTGTACAGCTGCAACATGACCTCCCAACTCCTATACTCAATGCACTGACCAATAAAGGCAAGTGTACCAAACATAATCTTCACTATCCTATCTATCTGCAACTCTACATTCAAGAGGATTTTGATCAATTGGGCCAGCAGGCAGAGGAATGGAAGATGGAGTTTAATTTAGAAAATGTGAGGTGTTGCATTTTGGCAAGACAAACCAGGGCATGACTTACACAGTTAATGCCAGGGTCCTAGGGATTGTTGTCGAACAGAGAGACCTAGGGGTGCAGGTACATAGTTCCTTGAAAGTGGTGTCACCGGTAGACAGGGTGTTAAAGAAGGCATTTGGCATGCTTGCCTTCATCAGTCAGAGGATTACATACACTGTTCGGCAGTCACGTTACAGCTGTACAAGACATTGGTAAGGCCATGTTTGAAGTACTGTGTACAATTTTGGTTGCCCTGTTTTCGAAAGGAAATGATTAAACTGAAAAGGGTGCAAAATTGATTTACAAGGATGTTACCAAGACTGAAGGATTTTGAGTTATGAGAGGCTGGATAGGCTGGGACATTTTTCCTTGGAGTGTAGGAGGCTGAGGGGTGATCTTATAGAGGCTTATAAATTCATGAAGGCATAGATAACTTGAATTGCCAAGGTCTTTTCTCCAGGGTAGGTGAGTCCAAAACTAGACAGCATAGGTTTAAGGTGAGAGGGAAAAGATTTAAAACCGACCTCAATGGCAGCATTTTCTCACAGGGTGGTGCGTCTTTGGATTGAGCTGCTAGAGAAAGTGGTAGAGGTGAGTATAATTACAACATTTAAAAGACATTTGCACAGGTACATGGATAGAACAGGTTTAGAGGAATATGGGTCAGTTTAGGAAACCTGGTCAGCATGGACGAGTTGGGCCCAAGGGTCTGTTTCTGTGCTGGAAGACTCTGACTCCTCTGACACACACCACATCAGTATTTGAACAGTGCTCAGGAGGTTTTGCAGGACAATCTGCTTTTGAACTCACTACTGATTCCATCCCATTGGTCATACTTGCTAATCGGATTAAGATGTAGAATCTTTTTAAGAGCCAGCTCTGGTTGCAGGTTCCTGATCTCTGCTATGCCTTTGTTTTTGAAATTTCCATTAGCTCTGACGGAAACCACATTTGCCTCTTTTAAATGGCTAGCTTCATTGACAAAATGAATGTGGTTCAGACCAAGCAGCTTCGAATAGCCCAGACGAAATGGCTTCTGCCTGACCTTCTCCCTTCCCAATCTCTGTCACCTCCTCCAGACCCTACACGCCTCCTTATCTC